GGATAAGGGTGAGGTTGAAAGTGTGCTTCATAGTGAGAGTAGTCGTAGTTTGAGTGAGGATGATTCGGTTTCGGAGGACAGTGATTTGGTGTGATGTAATGGATGTTTTCTGACCGAGTAACTCTAGGGAAGGAACATAGAATCATACCTCTTACTCTTAGTCTCTTCTTATAATGAAGGGCCGATAGTTATTAAGGAGCTGAATAATAATATATTAGTGGAAGGTAAATCCTGGTGGATGGCAATACTTCTAAACCGTACGACATGCCATAGTTGAAGATAAGCAATGCCATGGCTTTGACAAGTAAATAGCGGTCAATTATGACGACTGCATCTCAAAGAAAAGGAACTGACGGAACAAGAATGATCGAGAATATAATTTAGAAAGAAGTTTGTAATGAAATAATTCCAAGGAAAAGAACTCGGCTACGCAGTACATTGTCCTCCCTCCATGGAGATTAGTTTCCCACACCATCTGCCTCGGCGGCGTTGAGTTTGCCCTGAGCAGCAATGTAGCCTTCATAGCCGTCGCCGTATTTAGCCACCAAACGTTGCATTTCTTGGATGGCACTAATTCATACGGCAGAGTCTTGTCAGCCATCGTGATTGTCAGGTATTGGATAGCTAACGGAAGTAAAGGCTTACAGCTCTCTCATATCCTTGTTCTCTGGCCAGAGGACTGAAACGGCGAGGTCGCTTCGTCTAACAGGATATGAGGTCAGTCAAGGACTCAGACCTTTGCTATGACAATCACAGGCGTCGCTCAGATTCGGCATTTACTGGCTGGAGGAAAGAAACTGTGGTGGGACTTACAGTGCGTATAGAGCGTGTCTGTCATCTTGATCTTCCTGGGGCTCGCTGCGGTCATTGGTCTTGAAGTATTCGTCCACATGTTCCCTGCTGGTGAGATACCGTGTCGCTCGCCACATGGAGAAGTCATCTGTGGGTGTGATGATCAGTTATTTTCATTTTCCATCAAAGAAAAGGATACGATACGTGGTACGCACACTCATTATGACCATAAAAACAGCAAGGGTCGTAGAGGACAGGGACCTTTGTCTTTTCGTCAACTGACACATTTCCGTGCCAGAGATCACCATGCACAAGCACAGGCGTGATCTTCCTGCCACCAGTCTCCATTGGTCGAATCAGACGCGGGACCACCTTGGTGAGAATCTTTCCGCTCAGCTCCTGAAGCTCCAAGTTGGGTCCCTGCGTGGCGAGTTCCGCCTCCATCGTGTCCTTCATGCATCGCCTAAAGTATTCCTCCCAGGTGTCGCACCATCTTGTGTCCATGGGATGCTTGCCGCTGAAAGTCGTGACTGGATACCCAAACTTCCCATTGGGTGATGTCTTGGTGTGGATCGCGGCGACGACCGAGACCAGGTCTGAGGCGCTCGGCAGCTCGTCTCTCATGTCTCTGAACTCGGCCAGGAAAAAGGCGCGGCCGGGCTTGCTGGCACACGGTCCGTGTGCGACAACCTGGGGAACATTGTTCGGAATAACAGATAGGAGTTCTCGGGTGCTCTCGAATTCGCCACGAGCAATGTGTCGGCACGGGGAGCGGTGTAAACCTGGTTCGGATCCAGAGTGTCAGCCATTTTCATTGTCTTTCCACGATCAGTCCAGGGTTGTGTACCTTTAGGAAGTATGATTGTTCCTCGCCGCTGGGAAGAACGGCATCGATCTTGCTACTCATTGCCCAGAAGCTGGCGACAAAAGTCTTGGCCCATTTGATGGTGGTGCCCTCGGGGAGCGCTTTGCGGACATTTGCGTCGACCTCGGTACCCTCGTACTTTTCATTCTCTGGGATACCAGGAACGACAAACCCGGGATCAATGCAAACCATTTTGAACAGAAGATGTCTTCGGAAAGCTTCCCGATGGGCTCCCCTTGCAATTAGCAGGAGGTGAGCAATCTTGATGTTTGCCCCTCCAGGACCCCTCAGTTAACAACGTCGTACTTCCATGATGGGATGGAAATCAAAGACCAAAGACCGCCAACCTGCATCCTTGACGGTGCGGTAGTACAGTGAATACGGGCATCGCTGGTGTGCACGCATATCCTGTACCAGCGAAAGGGATACTGAATCCACTGGGAGAGCACTAACCCCTTTTGTTATCCCACTAAGCTGGAAGGAGATGCCAAGCTAATAGCGGCACTTATCACGTTATCGTCTTCAGGGAGCAACGAACGTCATTTCAAATCCATCGACAACGTCGTGATTTCTCATTTTCACGGCTGGAGCACAATCGCATTCCCACCTTTTATTCCACCAGAATTCATTCTTTCCGGTGGTCTAGATGGCAAAGAGAAGCTTTCGCTGGACGAACTGTTCGCCAGACACGATCATCTCACCGCCATACTCTTATGGCTCAAGTGGCTATAATGACGGCGAAGATTTCTTCAGGATGGGTGATATCGATCCAGCGACGCCTGACGACCTGCAGAGTCTTTTCTACAGTACATCGAAACAGAAAGAGCCGACTAAGAAATGGTATACAACTCAACTGCATTTCTACGGCGTTTCATCCAAGAAGACAGCTACGAGGCCTGAACTGCGACAGGCCCTGAAATCGGCTTACGACGTGGGAAGAGTACATTGCCCATTCCATTTTGTCCTTCTGACACCTTGACTTGAGTACTAACCATGGATGATGGAACAGTGCCAAGAACTTGCACCGGCCATCACCGTCATTCGAAATCGACTTAGAAGGCAATATGACGATGCCCTTAAACAGCTAGAAGACGAGCAGTTCGCCAGCCTCAATGGAAATATGTCCTCAGAGGTCAATTCCGATCCTCCTCGGTTCATAGCCAAGTACTTCCTTGATGCGCAGGGGCGTCCAGACCAAGGAAAGACGAAAGCAGCGCTATCTCTCGAAGCCTGGAATCGCACAACAGAGCTCAGGGAGTTGGTCGCAAGCATCTCATCGCTAAGGCTTATCACTGCCAACAGGAGAATTCTTATTGGCTGGGACAACACCATGGAGAAGGGGATCGAAAACGAATTCAAGAGGATCAAGTCGTCGCGCTCGCAGGATGACAAGTACTGGCAAGCCGAGCAGGCAAACGTTAGCATTGAGCTTTTCTTGGCCATTAATCTTGGACTCAACCTAGATGTGCACCACTCACCGCTGGGAACAACCGGTTGTAGACCATCAACACCTGTGATTCTTTCTGATGTATGGTTGAGCGACGAAAACAAGAAGATTATCAACAATCTTGCAGGGACAGCACCGGACCTGGTCATGAAGAAGCACAGCAACTATCAGATTATTGGATGGGACGCTGCCAAAGTGAATGCCGAAATTGATAGTCTCAAGGCCGAGGAAAAACGCATGGAAGAGGAGGCGGAGGCAAACAGAAAGAAATGGGAAGCAGAGGAAGAGGCAGAGAACAAGGCGCGGTGGCACAAACTAAGCAAACCTCACCGAGAACTGGTCGCAAAGCTTGAGCGGAAGCCTTCTCGTCCTGTCTTTGGTTTGCCACTCCTCTATGGAAAATATATCGTCAGGTATCAACATGAGGATGATGGGCTTTACGGCGAGTACAATGGCAGTAAGATGGCGCTAAACATCTTCCCGGCCGACAAAGACTGCAGAGGTCACGGCTTGGTAGCTTCATTCGACTTTGGAAACATCGAAGGTATGATGCTGTTGGGCATGTCCCGGGACAAGGTGGTGCTTCTTCGCGAGGGCCTACTGAAGGACTATAGAGACTACGACCCGGCTGACTGGGATCAGGACGATGAGGACGAGGCGGAATCTTATTTGTCCTCGTCTACCATAGCCTTTGGATTTGGACACTTTCCGTCTTCGAATTTCACCAGTCAACATGGACATCAACTTGGCTCATTGAGTTCTACCACCACCGACTCCGCTACTGTCATAGGGACAAAAAGACCTGCGCCGGCAGCAACCAGCATTGCCGATCCATTTGGAGTACTCGCAGCAAGAGCCAAGAGGCAGCGAATGATGGAAGAAGCCAATGTCAAAACTGAGAATCCCAGCGGCATCCCACAGGATCGGAAGATAAAACAAGAACACAACGACTCAAGTTCTCTCGCAGCCATTCCTCCCGCGCCAACAATGACCAGGTTCAAGAAGGAGGAACCAGAAGCCAGCACCAGCACTAGCACCTCTTCGTTGGCTCCTCCCGTTGTTCTCCCTCCTGCATTACCAGAACAGCGACAGCCGACCCGCCGTCGCATTTTTTTCCAGCTGGCATATAACGACAAAGGTGGTTGGCCAGATATAGACGACAACCACAGACAAGTCGGGCATTTCGACTTTGACGAACTGGGCGCCAAAGCAGATGGCGTTTTTCGGCTGCCCAGTTATGAGCAGGAGATAGAGCGACTGTCCATTTACAAGGTGTCTGAAACGCCGGATCAGCAGGCGCAACCGGGCGAGTGGGGCTGGTTTTTCAAAGGATAGAGCCGGTTGGTCCGGACGCGGACTGGCAAGCAAGTACCCGAACGTTGGTAGTTCGATGGACCTTTTACACTAAGATACAGGTTATTGCAGGGAGTTTCCGGGTTGGGTGATGGCGATGTTCAGGCGGGGCTGGCTTCAAGCTTGTTCCAAGGTGGGGATTGTGGGGCAAGGCCGCAAGGGCGAGATACCTACTGAAGACGTCAGCGTCCAACCGAGGCTAGAAGCGGCATCGTTCTGACAAAAGAAAAAGGGAATGGTTTTTGAGGTTCAACCAAAAGCGCATATGGGAGTATTGTTTTTAAGTATGGGGTGATCTTTCCGCAACAAAAGATGGTGTCCTGTTTTTCTTTTTTTGTCGGATATGCGGCACCCGGGGTCCCTCGCTAAAGGGCATCGAAGGACAACCTTGCAGAATGCAATCGCACGGAAAGCACAGGCGCAGAGCGTTGGCACACTGTACAGGGTGATGGAGGGCAGACAGATGGGACGAAATTTCCCCTTCAGCCCCGCTAGGTGGGCGCTATATAGGGCAGTCCAAAGTCATGACTGTTTGAAGTTGGTGGTTGCGTGGTCTAGTGGTCAGGATGCTGCCTCTCCATAGTTCATCTGTCATGGTGCTACCCGCGTGGAGGGCTAAACATCGGAATGGGAGCCGGTGAGTGCAGAGGTCCGGGTTCAAATCCCGGTACGATCATCAATTTCAAGTAACGTTAATTCTTTTTTTTTTGGATTATTCTTTTTTGTTTCAATTTTTGGATTCTAATTCTTCTTCCCAGCCTTTCTTTCCCTTTTTTTTTGTGTGTATAAATTTTTATCCGTTGGTTTAAAATCTAGACGAACCATTTGCAAATTATGAAGAAGCGGAAACAACTTCAACCGGTACTGGAATTAACCATTCTCACGACCTTCCATTTTCCAACGTATTTTAATTAATCCAACCTTATTCTTCAAAGCCCGCCAATTATCAAGGCACAAAGCATCATGGACACACTGCAGCATAGAGTGAATTCCCTTCCCAGCGGCTCAATTTGATTAGTATACAGCATTTCAGAAACAATTACATAATATACAAAGCACACTCCTCGTTCCAACATCCCAGCAGGTAGAACGAGGCCTCGTCAAACATCTCAGGCCGACCACAAACCGGGCAGCGAGGCCAAATTCCCGAATCACCCCCCGTAAAACTCAATGGCCTCTCGCCATCCACAAAACGAGACTGGTTGCCGAGGGTAATGGCGGGGGCGGCAGCAGCACCGGCGACGGCAACGACAACGGCAGGAGCAGCGGCAGCGGCAGCAGCAGTGGCGGCAGGGGCGGCGACAGCAGCAGGGGCAGCGACAGCGGCGGCGGCGGCAACGACCGGGGCAACGACAGGACCGGCAGCAGCAGTGCTGCCACCACTGCCAGGGGCAGCAGCACCGGGGGGGTCGACTGGTCCGGCGGCGGCGGGAGCAGGACGGCGACGGCGACGAGGGCGGGCATCGCGGCCCCGAACACGAGCGTTGGTTTGCTCGGCTGGGCGAGCAGGCGGCGAGGCACTCCGACGGCGGTCAGCCATTTTCTATTTCTTTTCTTTTTAGAAAAAGAAAAAGAAAAAGAAAAAGAAAACAGGTGCTGGATAGATAGATATATGGTCGGTGCCAATTCCAGAAACTGGAGGAAAGAGGTTCTATAACAAAGATGAAGTAACAGCTCTAAAGATGATAAAGTGATGTTGAAGATGAGGCTGATCGAAAATGATCAAGGCAACTAGAGTGATATATTGGTGCCAATGGCCATAATAATATAGTACTGGCAGACCGGGGTTGCTAGATATACCCGGCACTCCATCACACTTTCAATTCGTTGATCCCTTGTCCCAAAAAATGCCATGAGCTGAGGGATAGAACCTTGCCATCCTCAACGAACGCCATGCTATGCCCTGGCCCAAGGAAATCACCCAGAAGAAATACAAAACGCCATCATGCAGTCGCTGGTCATGCCGGTCAAATGCCACCCAGTTCCTCCTTGCGTGTGCTCCAGATTCCCATTATGTTCCACAAGCCCATTGAAGGCTTGTCCATGCTACTAGACGTAGCTCCATCCACCCACAAGCCCACCGCCTCCAAAAGTAGAAAACTCCCAAAATTTAGATGCCGTATTCCTCATCAGCAGGCTGGAAGAGATCGGGTTGAGCCCCGTACGGGCCAACAATTGACGCGCAATGCATGAAGTCCTGGGACAGCGAGTCCATGTCCGCATCTGATGGCCCGTCCATTTCTGTTGCTGCCATATGCGGCTGGGGATAGAGCAACATAGGTCCGGGTGCCGGTGCCGGTGCCGCGATGCCTGGATTGAACGGCAATCGCATAGGTGGTTGCCCTGGACCAAAGACCACCACACTCTGCAGTGGCATGTAGAAAAACGGCCCCATAACTCCAAGTCCTTTCAAATGAGGATACGCTCCAAAATCCATCTTGTCCTCCACGCCATACTCTCTCTTATAGTAGGCCGATACACCAGCAGAAACATTCCCCTCCTTAACATCCTTAGTGCCGGCTGGTTTCTAACCTGAGGCCGGCAAATCGTGCTGGTTCGGTTTCTCTTGTGCAGCGTTGTGTCTTGCCACATACTCCTCGTAGGGGGGCTTGAACTCATGGGCTCGGTCCCAGATGTCGTACTCGACCTTGTTCCAGACTTCAAGTCCCTCAATCTGCATGTCGGTGAGGGAGAGCGGGTCGGCAGCCCATTTGTCATCAAATCTTCTGGCTCTGTCAAGGGTCTCCTTGACTCCCAATCGCCACTTGCGCATAAGATAGGCAATGCCGATGAAGGTAGGCTCGTAGCGGGTTCCGGGGGTCTGGCCGCCGTGGATCATGACCACACTTGCAGGACGCATGTGGCGGGCCTTGTAGTTCTCCAGGTCTTTGCCCTTCTTGCCCAGAAGCTCAGGTCCAAGGAAGATCTCGTCGTCATCCTCGTCAAATCCTCGAGCAGCCTCTTGCTGCTCTGCAAGGCTTGGCGGATCGGTATAGTACCTGTCGATGAAGTCGCAAATATCCTTCAGCTTGTACGTGAGGACAACGGTTGACTTCCGGATGACGATGGACAAGAAATTGGGCTGCGGTGTCTCACATGGCTGAGACTGGTGTTTCAGGCGGTTTGTCGTGTTGCCGAGGATGGGCTCGTTATCGTCAACTCTGCCATCAATGATGGTGATGGCTGCTGCATGGGTCTTTCCCTTGACCCAGGCCTGCATCTGCTCTGGTGATACCGCGGCATACCCGACTGTCAAGCCGGGAGCTATCTCGCGCCCGTGCAGATTGTAATTGGGCTCCTCGTCGCCCAAAGGAATTGGCTCCAATGGCCCCATTGGGTAGCCTGGGGACTCCACGGGATAGAATGGGGCCTGGAGAGCAAGGCCATGAGGATAAGGGCTGAACCCAAGTTGGTGATGCTGGCCAGGGGTGAGCTGACCTGGCGCAGGCGTGAAGTCCACAAGCCTGCGAGGGACCCTGCCGGGCGTGAAGTCGGCAGGTCCGCCAGAGGCTTGGCCAGGCGCGGAGCTTGGCCGGCGACCAGGCGTGAAAGTGTTGGCCTGCGGATGGGCCTTGCTCGGGTCGAAGCTCGCGGCTTCGGCAGACAACCGGGGGCCGGCCGGCTTCTCCTGAGCCTCGCGGCGCTTTGCGGCCTTGCCTTTGGCCTTCTCGTGGTCTTGCTGGCCAGACATTGTGAATTCGGCTAGTGCTAGGCGAGGGATGGGTTGAGCTAACAAACGTCGTTAGATGTTTGTAAATTGGAGAATAAAGAGGCACAGGTGTCAAGCAAGTGAAGAGGTGCACTTACTTTAATAATGAGGTGAGAGCTCTGGCTCTTGACTCAAATTGAGGAATCGCGGGGCGTCAGAATGAACTCTGGACGAAGCCTAGTAGCCAACCGAAGGTTTTGGATTGGAAGGAGACGAGATTCGGCAAACTCGGACGAGGGAAGCATAGGTTGTGTCGGTGGTGTCTGACAGATGAAGACGAGAAGGTCGACCAAAGCCGGGAAGAGGTCAAGGGAGATGCCGGAAGCAGGATCAAGCGACTAGGTGATGACGTTGAATGAAGAATATTGCAATCCGGACGACGATCTGGCTGAGTGGTTAAGGGGTAAGCAGACAAGGGTGTCTGGTTGTAGAGGAGATAAAGGATAAAGGAGGTGTGCAGGTGTGCCTGAGAAAGATGTCGTGTGCGAGGAGCTCGAGAGACAATCGCGCAAAATAGATGGTTGCGGCACAGAGGTGGAAGGAGAGGAGGGAGTCGGGAGACTGCGAAATAATTTATAGACCAACTCCTGTGCTGGTGGGGGAGAACCGAGCTTAAGTGCTCTTGACGCTAGCACCACGTGGGGTGGTCGTCGTGGTGGGCAACAAGCGGTCGAAGGTCGATGACAGATTGACAGTGGTGGGATGGCTGATTAAGGGGAGGTTGCCCTCCTGCGTGACAGACTTCTACCCCTATTGTCTCAATTTTGATTGGATAGAAGAGTGTAAGGGCCAGGGGGATGACGAAAGTTGTCATAAGGCTGGATTTCGAGATCACACTACAATGACCCACGGGATGATACCGCTGGATTTCAGTAAGTCACCGTGCATACCGGCGGGCCGTCATCTAGAACGGATCGGAGCTCGTTAGTGGCTCGACCCGCTACCTGACCGTATTAGGTGGGGTGAAGGGGAACGCGTACCCGGACAGGACAAAGGACCAGGTGGACATTGCTGGGGACTCGACCCAGAGTGGGGCAAGATGGCCCGTCCAAACTACATGTCCATTTCCGTCTCTCTATTGTATGGAAAATTACAGTGCTGTTTGAGCCCCGATGAAGAACAATATGCCTCTACTCTCTAGCCCCTGGCATTGCAAACAATAGCACGTGCGACAGTTTCAGGGAACCTGGGGATTAATTACGAGTGCTGTTAATCGGGATTTTTTCTTGTCCTCTGTTGTGTGAGATGAACATAAGGCGCACATGCTATTTGATTTTAAGATGGTACATCAGTAAGTCAGATAAACATGGAACTGGTAAATACACAAGAGTGTGTAAATGCCCTCATCCATTAATCCTCCTAGTAGCCTTGTAGTCGAAAAGTGCTGGTCGTTTACCAGCTGTCGGAAGTCGATGACAGATGTCGGGCGTAAAAGTCACTAGGTACCTCACTGTGCTGTCGAGCCGCTGTACCCTGAACAGAGTGGCGTGCCGCACCGAGTATAGCCCGTAAGGTGATGAAACATGACATGTTTGGGATCTCCAGTGGACCAGCACTGCGGCGTCCATTCGGAAACAGTGCCAAGACAGGTCTGACATGACCTTGTTCCGCTGTTTGATTTAACTTCACTTCATTTCTCCTTCATCTCTTAGCTTGTTCCTACCTTGGGTTCTTGGAAATAGCTTGTTTCGACTTCCTTCAGCCAAACGATAATAGACGATATCTCATCCACTTGTTCAGACCTCAATAGCTATGATGAACTCACCACAGTATCACGACCTCCGAAAAGACCTCGAGACAAACGATGTCCGGCATTCTCACGATGGCTCTTCATTAACCGAGTACGACGACGAAGACAAAGCCCACCAGCACTGGCAAGGGAGCGCATCAGGCTCGTCAGCTTCGACGAAAACGAAATGCGCACGGTTCTGGGAAACATTCAAATCTTTCCGATCGATATTAGACAC